CCTGCGCGCTCTCCCGTACGCGCTCCCGTGCTCTCTCCCTCCTGCTCCCCCATGCACACACACACACACACACGAGCGCGCATACGCAAACCCAAATACACGCGAGCCCACGTACACACATTCTCACTCACTCACTCACCCACGTGTTCATGCCCCAGGCGATTGAGGAGCTGCAGGCGGTGGTTGAGACGCGCTGCATCACAAAGGAGCTGCTGGGCCAGGTGGGGCCAGGGAGCTGCGGTCGCGGCGGCGGCGGTCGCGCGCGGCGGCAGATGGGCAGCCGCTCTGGCTGCCCAGAATAAGCGTCCCAGCTCTGCTTCTCGTCACCCACACAGGCTCTGCGCTGGGCGTCAGCATGCCCCAACATTGTCGCCTTTGTCCATAAGTATGACTGCAGCTCTCCCCTTGAAATCTGCTGCCGCGTCACCGCCTGCGCCCTCGCTGCCAACAGGTCTTTGCTGCTCGCGACGACATGCGTCAGGCCTGGACCCGCATGTCGTCGCTCTTCGAGGTCGCTGCCCACCCCGAGGGCCTCTTTGCCTGCCGCGTGCGCCGCTCCACCGGCCACGGCAGCGCGCCCAGCCGAACCGCGTCGGCCGGCGGCGGCGCTGTGGCGACGGCCGCGGATGCCGCCGCGGGCGTCGACGCCGCCGCTGCCGCACCGGCGGTCGACGCCGCGGCCCTAGATGCGGAGCAGCAGCAGGGCAAGCTGGCTGGGGAGCAGGAGGTGACGAATGAGGCGGGCCGGGTGGCGGAAGAGAATCAGGAGGAGGCCGACGAGGCCGAGCAGGGGGAGTGGGCGCCAGACCAGGAGACGCGCCTCAGCACGGCCTCCGCGTCGGCCCGGGCGAGCGCCGATGATCCCTTTGCGCTGCTGGCGGTGTCTGAGAGGGTCACCGTCGAGTCGGTTGCTGAGTCAGTGGCAGAAGCCCCGGACTGCACAGTGACGTCATCCCAGGACGAGGCACCTGCGGCCCCATCGCCCCTCGTTGCCCCGCCCGCCGCGCGCGCGCTCGCGGCGGCGGCGTCGCTCGGCGTCCCGGGGACGCCCGTGGCGGGCGCGGCTGCAAGCCGGGCTGAGCTGTCAGCGGTGGTGGCGTCCCACGCCAGCATGCGCGGCGAGGTTGAGGCCCTCTCAGAGCAGGTGCGCGCAAGCAGCACTCACAGCAGCCGGCAGCAGCGGGGAGCAGCGGGCAGCGTCGAGACGCGGGTCACAACGAAGCGCGTGCGGGTGCTTGTGGTAGCACAACAGGCCTGCTGGTGCTTTCCCTGTGGGCAGTCCCTTTATGCACCCTGCCGTGTGCATGCAGAGGGCCGAGTGCATGATCATCAATCTGCATCAAACCATACGACATTGCCGCAGGTGGGTGCCTTGACCGAGGCCCTCCGCGCCGTCCAAGAAGATGCGGTGCGCGCCGCCCAGCCGGTCGCAGAAGCTCCGCCTGCAGGGCCGACCGTCGATGTGGGCGCCGCCGCCGCAGAGGCGCTGCGCGGCGCGATCGCGTCCTGTGAGGCGCGCCTCGCCAGCCTGGAGCAGGCTGCGTCCGCCGCCGCGCCCACCACCGCGGCCGCTGCGCAGCAGCGCGGTTCGTCGGCGGGCGTGTCACGCCAGAGCAGCCTTGGCTTGCTGGGCAGGCAGCTGTCTGGTCTGGAGGCCAGCCTGGCGCCAGAGGCGGTGGAGGAGCTGAGGGCAGCGATGGAGCGGCTGGAGGGGCAGGTGGGGCCCAGCGGGGGAGGGGGAATGGGAGGGTTGTTGGCGTAACCAATTGTAGGGCTTCCCTTGCCGCTCGCACACCCGTTGGTCCATGTGTGTGTGCGCACGCGCGTGCATGTGTGTGTGTGTGTCTGTGTGTGTGTGGGGTGTGTGTGTGTGTGTAGGTGTGTGGGTATGTGGGTGTGTGGGTGTTTGTGCGCGCGCGTGCGTGCGTGCATGTGCGCTGATGCAGAAGAGTGTGTGTGTCTGCGCGTATGTGGTTGTGTTGTTGTGTGCTTTTATGTTTGCGCAAGTGTTGAGTCTTGCTGGCTGCGCATGTGCCACTCACGCGCTGTGTACGCATACCCCAGCCCAAGCGCATCCAACCACAAACCCCTGCATCCCCCCCCCCTGGCCCCCGCCCCCAAGGTGTCCCGCCTGGCAGCCGCTGGCCAGGAGCAGCGGCTGCTATTGGAGGCGCAGCAAGACCTGCTGGAAGCCCAGGCACAGGAGCAGGAGCGCCTCAGGGCCGAGGCGCGCGCCGCCGCCGGCGGGGCCGCCGCCGCGCTCGGCGCTGCGCTGGAGGAGCAGGCGGCGGCGCTCG